TTTGCGAATTAGCGCCCCTCAATTATACACATCTAGATGTGTATAAGAGACCTTCGCTACCCCATCAGGACCCCCACACTTCGCTAGTTGCTCCCCCTCCCCATCAGTCCCCCATTTAAAGATATCTAGATACGCCACTGACTTACATGGCCAGATGAATGAAAATACTCAATCGATGTGCCATCAAATCCTAACCAGCATTCACCATGCATGCCCGCACGATGTCACCGGGGACGCAACTGCCAAAAAACTATTTTTGGCAGCGAAGAAACACTACCAATAAACAATAAAAAAAACTACCGGGTTTATGGGTTGATTTGCAAGGTACTACATGGCTCAAATATTTTTTACTTAGGGGTTAATTGGTAAAAATCGCACACAAATCATACGACGTCACAGAAAAAGCCGGGGACGGCAACTCGATTTTGAGATTAATTTTCCGAATAAAGTTATACCGGTACTAAATAACTTCTAATGACGAACTATTGTCTTCCGTTGTCTTTGATGGTCATTCAACTGTAATTTTATCAATTTTTTCGGTGATATTACCATCCTCAATAATCTGTAAAACACCCACATAACAACGTCACGTTAGATCGATCGGTGTGGACGCCATGGTGACGCCGGTAGGGTCAATTTTCGTCGGAAGGTATCAAGATGATAAACAGTTTCATTGGACTAAATTCTCCTTATGTTAACCACATCATAGTTACCAACCTGAGAGAGATTTGAAATGTGTGAGTGAATATACCAGTTGGCTGGGGGGAGGGGGGTCCAAGTGGCAGGGGAAACACCCCCCCCCCCTCCGCTCCGACGATCTGAGCATTTTCAAGCTGTTTTAAAACGATTTCAGGGAATGTTTGTTGATAATACAGGTACATAAGCAAAATATTATTAATAAAGCCAATTTGAGTTTCAATGTGGCCTAGGCCTTTGTTTAATTAGCACCCGAACTATGTAGACCTACACAAACATTTCACTACTGATAAATTTTTAGTAACTAGTTATTAGTGAAATGAGTAGGGCCTTAAAGGAAATACTGTACTTACTTTCTCATGACTCAAGTTACTGCATCACCGTTTTTGTTTTAATACAACCGATTTCTTCTAATTTTAAATACATTTTCCCCTGAATTTGTGATAAATCGTTATCACCGCATAGACAAATTTAGGATCACGCATGTGTTTTTGCAAAATCACTTTGAAATGCGGGACCGTCCCGCACGATGCGAGACGGTTGTTAACTATGCAACCAGTTGAACCAATCAATCAATCAACGAATGAATAAATAACTAAATAAATACATATCAATCAATGAATCAGTCAAATATTTATCCATTCAATCACATTGTCAATTTATTACGTGCAAAACGAACGTGCGAATAAGAACTTACATCACAGTCAATAGAAAAATACTATACTGTACTATATCACTTCACACGGTTATGGCCTAGACTGTTCCTTTTGCGCATGTCTCTCTTTCATTTCAGCGCGCCAACAATTTGATTGTTTTGTTTTAGGTGTTCCGACGACCTGGAGAAGGAGTTGTTGTCATTGTACTTGAATAATGTTGGGCATATCTACAATAACTAATCCGGTAAGCATACACTATAGTATATATTTTATACAAACTTAAATAAAACGAGCTTGGCAAAATCTCCTCCTAGCTTATAAAACGGGGCCTAGGCCTAGTTGGCGCGCCTAGTAGGCTAGGCTAGCTAGGGCCTAGGCCTCCCGTACTCGGTCGTACTCGGTCGAAGGCTAGGCCTAGCGGCCACGAGTATAGTGCAGGCCTAGGCCTTTTTTAGACAAGTAGTAAGCCCTCTTACCTGGGCCGGGCCTGGCTCGGGCCAGCCTAGAGATATCTAACTATGCTAGTTGAGTGAGCTTTTTGTTAACACATTTAATTTTATTTTGCTGCGTATAAGAAATCAAATAAATAGGCCTAGGCCTATCTATATACTGGCTTTCGTGAGAAAATTGATATTTTTTTATAAGTAAAAAGATGTCACCTAGGAATACTAGGCCTATACTGGAAATTTTTTAATTGCGCGGATGATATTGATACATCAAAAACTAGGCCCTAGCTTAAGTTTGCGCGGACATCGCTAGGAAAATACTAAATAGGTTGGTGTGCATGTCATGATTAATTTCACAATACATTGCTTATGTATATTCTATAAAGATTAGGCCTAGGCCAAAGGTTTAATCTCTACAAAATCTGCCTAGAAATTGTCCCTTATTTTCCAAAATGCACAGACGAATTTCTAGGCCAAATTTTTGCGCAGAGGATATCATTCCCAGTGCGGGCCTTTCTTAACACAGTGTACACAACAAAAATTTATTTGCAAGAAAAACTTGTTTCTACAGTATTTTATTTCTATGATAATATTCATAGGTGCAGAAACCTTTGTTGCAAGATGATCTGTTTGATGCTGAATATAGCAGTTCAGAAGATGAATGCAATAAACCAGAACTTGATTCACATTCTTCTAGAGATTCTACCAATGTAGTCCAGGATAATGCAGGGGCAGGTAATAATTTGTCTTTAAATTTTAAAGTCAAACCTGTGTAGCATCATCAAGCAGAAACCCTTTACTTTTTTTTTTTGAATTTTTTATTGCAGTGGAATCAAATATAGAGCACCACAATGTTCTCTATTTTCTGCTCTGATTTTAATGTTTTTAATTTGTTAGTGCCTTTTTAGATTTTATGACCAGCAATTTTATTTAATCTCTTTGGACTTGGTTGATTGGTATTCTTTGAACAGAAAAATGCAGTGGTGCTACAGACGTTGAAAAGAAAGCAACAGATGACGAAAAAGATGCAATAGATGATAAAAAGGATGTTACTAACAGAAATAATGCTACAGATGATGAAAAGAATACTACAGAGGATGAAAAAGACGCAACAGACGATGAAAAGGATGGTACAGAGGATGCAAACGATGCTATAGAAGATGTAGAGAAGAATGAATATGAAGGAATGGAAGCTGAAAATAGTGCAGGAAGCGATGACGATAGCTTAGCTAGACCATCACCAATGGAACGTGCCAAGACTAAAAAGCAAAAGGTACTTCTTTATTAGTTACTTTTACTTGTAAAGCATTTAACATTTTTTTTTATTGGGATGCAGCTGTGGAGCTGCTTTTCTTCAATTGCCAACATCTTGGGTTCAAGTAATGCAAATATTTATTGTCGTAATCAATTAAAAATCAAAAAATGAAAGTAAATTTCCTAGATGCAATATAAATACACATACAAAATAAAACTAGATTTGAACTGGTCACTGAGAAAAAGTTTGGTGATCCGCCGCACATCAACCCTGAGGAAGCGCGAGCGGTGCGGATTGAAATATCTTAAAATTCTCAAAATGGCTTAAAATATGCTCTAATTAGTTTTTTAAGAAATGTAATTTTAAACAATTGAAAAGATTTACGCTTGCGGACGTCTTGATGCCTGTGTGCATGTTAATGGCACAAAAAGTTTACTCCTGATATGAATACAGTGTCAGGAACCCAAAATATGTAACAAAACGTAATTTCCAGCTTCAGTACGTGTTGCGTGCGTGGAAGTGAGCATACAGCGTGTAAATTATGGAAATTTTGGAATGCTAAAAATGTCCTGAAACGTGCTTTAAATATAGCTGAAAAAGTGATATTAAGAATTTCCAAATTTTACCGCACACGCACGCGTTACGATGATATGATCGATAATGTAAAACACGCAAAATTGCACATTGAACAGCTCGCATTAACTATTCCGTGCCGAACCACGAATGTTTGTTGAAGCTGCCATGTGTGTAGCTTGCGGCAATTTTGAGATATCGTGCGAACAGAAAAGGGGAGAAAGAAAGAAGAATGAAAAAAAAAAGATGATGATCCTGACAAAAACAAGAGGTGATCTGCTCGAGAAGCGGATCACCAAAAAATATTAAAAGCTGTAAATGCACTAGAAAAGAATAATTTGGTTTTTTTTCCCTCCAAAAACTCTACAATGATACTTTTTACATTCATTTATAGGCTTCTGAGAGGCAGAATTCATCTCGTCGAGTCAAACAAAAAGCTATTGAACAAATTCATAGCGAAAGTCAGCGCATTATTAGAGGTCTGTATTCAAAGTAAACAGGAAACTACTTCACTGTACATACTGTTATATTTATGAATACAACCGATGATCAACAAGCATATAACATACAATTGTTTATCACATACAACATATAATGTTTATAACATATAATATACAATATTTATCACATAAATAAGCTGCAGAATGTGGAAATACGTAGATGACCTCACCCTAGGAGAGGTTGTTAATAAAGGAACAAGACCTTCAATGCAGGAGATGCTTAATGATTGGTGCAATGAGAACAACATGACCCCGAAGCCTTCTAAGTCCCATATAATGACTAAATTTTTTGAAAAAAGTTAGTGTTAATGTAGAGTCCTCCATTTTCAATTTAATAGCACAAACATTGATGTAATAGAGCATATGAAATTGCTTGGTGTCATAATCCAATGTAATTTGAAGTGGGACCTTAACACCCAAGATATTGTCTCATGGGCATCAAGAAGACTGTTTGTTCTGTGTATACTTAGAAAGCAAATGTTGTTCTTGATGACCTACTCACTGTTTATGCTTCCTACATAAGGCCCATCTTGGAATACGCTTGCCAAGTATGGCATGGTGCTTTTACCAATAAAATTACCAATAGCATTGAGACCATCCAGAAAAGAGCATGTCACATAATGTTAGGTGCTGCCTACATTACTTATGACAATGCCCTAGCGGTTATGGGTTTACCATCACTCAGGCAAGGAGAGAAACTCTTGTGTTGTCTTTTGGCAGGGGTTTACTTAAGTCTGACTGCTTTTGTGAGGTGGGCAGATTAGAATCCTTAGGTCTAATACAACTAGTACTCTTGATGTCCCCAGATGTAGAACTGAAAGATACAGAAGGTCTGCCATACCTACTATTGTTAATTTGATCAATGCAAATAAATTAATTTCTTAGTCCACCGGAGGC